CATGGAAAGAATCCGAGACTCAATCTTCAAATGATTTTGCTTATGGACAACGTCAACCAATCTCGGATCCATATGGGTGGCATGTTAACAATTACATGGAAAACTATTTTGGGGATTTATCATTTGATGACTACTCTTCAAAATATACTTACTCTACACATAGAGATGATGAAGATAGTGAAAATTTTGAACCTCATAGGAACTCTATGTGGTACTAAGTCACTCATGTATCTTACCATGCAATGTATAAAGTGTAAAATATTGTAGTAATTCATTATATATAAATGATTATGGTGTGTTTAATCTTCTTTCATTAATTACTACATATTTCTACACTTACGGTGTTTGTCAGCTCGCTATATAATCAACTTAAATAAATTAAATCCATCATGCAATGCATGTCCTTCCAATTTTTTGTGATAAACTAATAGATAATTGACTAAATAAACATCCTACAAAGTTTCAATAAAAATTTCCAAGTTTTTCTTACAATTTCCGTGGTTTTTATTCAATTTTTTCCGATACCGATAATATCCCGATATTTCCTGCGATATTTCCGTGTTTTTTGACTTCCGATACTTCCGATACCTCCGATATTTAAGACCATGATCGTAAGGAGGTTGTAGCTTAAATATGGTTGTATTTATCGTGCACCCGAGATTCTAAGTTCAATTCTCCTCTTTAATTATCACTTGTATAAAAAATAAATAATCTTATCTAGACACCAACGTTTATTTTTCTTTTTCGGTACATAAAACACCAACTTTATTTCAAGTTAAGGAGATTGTTGGTGGTGGATAGTGTGTTGTTGAAAGAAAAACAATAAAATAATTGACGGGAACTTGTAGGCAAATAAAGTACAACAAAATAAAACGTAATAGCCAGCTGGCGGTGGCCAAATATATGCATTCACCAACTCTTCCACGGTGTTCTGCTTGTATCCATCGGCTTCTTCGCCTACCTCTCTGAACGAGCGAGCGCAGTTTGGGTTATGAAATGGAAGGTGAAAGTTTTGCTTCTTTCTGTGAAATTTCAACTAATATCCATTGTCATAACTTTCCCATTTCATAAATATATCTTCTTTTTTAAAGCTCTTCTTTGCTCTGTGGCTTTGCTTTACGACAGTGACGATTTTGATTCATGATCAATTCACTTCTTTCTGGATGTACGTAATTAGACAATATAAAGTTGGGTCCTTTAGGAATTAAGTTGCCAATTGATAGTTTGAAGTTCAATCCTAGCAGCTAGATTATTGAACATAAACCTGGTGATTGGTTTTTTTTTTCTTTTCATAAATTTGAATCTGAAGTTGGTTTCGATTAATGCTTAATGAGTAGAATTAGAATATTGATAAAAGAAAACAAAAGCAGGCATTCAATAGTTATTTTAAGTTGTGAACTGTGTTTGACAATTCATTTAAACTTCAAAGAAGATGATGGCAATTCAAACTCTCCTATTCCAAATGTTAGTGCTCCTATACTGTGATTCAGAATACCAAATATTGCAGTTCATCGTATTGATAAAGAACTAATTTTAATGAAATTTGGAGATGTGTTTCAAGGCTCAAAGAAACCTTTAATGCGTTATTTGTCTGTCATTTATGTGGTAGTCATATGCTAGACCCTAAATTTGCATCAAAGGATTGGAGATTGCTGTCTTATAGTCTGAAATGATGAATAACAAACAGCTATTTACACTCACGGGGAAAAAATGCAAGAGAAATAACATAATAAACTACCTTGATTAATATTATGACCGTGAAAACTGATAAAATTGTAAAACTTCTATGCAGCAATGTCAGGGAAGATTATCGAAAATGTTTCTGTGTCACAGTGCTACCAACTAAGTAGGAAGTTCAACACCCATTATCAAAGGGACAACTTTGCCCCTTTTATGCGCAACATGCTTCCCTTCCAGCGAGGGAAGTTAGCATGGACTGCCATTCCTTCCATGCAATTGCGCAACTTCTCAAAATACCAGAGCAGTTTTGTAAACCGAAGAACTGTTCACTGCAACGGTCTGTTCTAGACTCTCATTATCAAGGTTGATATCAGATGCAAAATTAGTGTTCTAGACTTCCTTAGAGTACTTACTCTTGTATTTTATGCTCATCATAAAAAAAATCATTTCTTTGGCATTGGGGGCATTTTTATTTAGTTGTTTTGACAGCCCAGGTTGCAAGTGAAATTTTTTATTTTTGGATCTCTTACCAACTTTCCCATTATGGTTCTATAATTGTTACCTTTTAGATTATTATATGCATTTGGGATTTTCTTGCAGCTGCTCCATCTACCGCTGCGGTGCCAAATCTTGACAAAGTTGATTTTCTGAAGCTTCAAAATGGAAGGTGACAATTGATGCCACCTACAGTGTTCTTCCAATTAAAAAATTTCTAACTTTCTGGGCACATCACAGCTTTAATAATTATTGATCTGATATATATTTCTTTGTGCACTGATGTTCTCATACACAGTGATATTCGAGGTGTTGCTGTTGCTGGTGTTGAAGGAGAACCACTCAATCTGACTGAACCTGTTTCAGAAGCAATAGCGGCTGGTTTTGCTGCATGGCTTTTGGAAAAGAAAAAAGCTGATGGCTCACGACGTTTGAGCATTTCTGTTGGCCATGATTCTCGAATATCTGCGAAAAAGTTAGAGGCATGTCCTAAATTTGGATAAGATTTTAGCAATAAATTTGTAAACTTAAACATGACAACTATTGTTTAAATTGGAAAAACAAAGAGAAAATAGATGTTGGGAACTTGAAATTGCAGGTTCATTAGAAGAGGACCCATATGAAAGTAAAAATCTCTTGTTTGTTATGTTCATCAAGCATAGTTGTCCTGTTTAGGTCAAAATGGGTGTACCGAAATTTAGTTTCTGTTTAGCAACCTGTCTCATATTTAGTTTCTGATAACTTTCAATGTTGTACGAAATTTAACAGAATTAGACTTTTGGAAAGATACTTTACTGGCCTCTATGTGCTAAATATTTCAAAAACATATCTGGAAATTCTTACTGATAACCATTTTTATTTAAGTATTGACCATTTGGTTCAATTTGATTAATTATTTTCCAGGATGCAATTTCACGAGGAATTGCTGGTGCCGGTCTGGATGTTGTTCAATATGGGTAGGTGATGAATTTCTATTATTTTATATTGTTGATAAACTCTATTACATCTGCAAAAGTAATGACTATTTGGATTGAAAGTCATGTTGCATGAAGATGGCTTATGTATGACCAGTTAAGTGTTGATTGCTCCGGATATTGATCAAAACTGTTTTCCATTATGTAGACTGGCATCCACACCAGCAATGTTTAATAGCACAATTACTGAAGATGATGCTTTCTTATGTCCTGTCGATGGATCTATTATGATAACAGGTACGGTACACATGTTCATGAGCAAACTATGTGATATCATGCCACTTAGAGTTCCAGTCTTGTTGTTTCTCCATAATGAGATATTGCAGGAGCAAGTTCTGGCATACTTTTGGAGATTTGATTTTTTCTTTTCTATAAGTTTGGATTCCCCTGATGTAAAGTCTAATATATTGTATTGTTTCAACAGCAAGTCATTTGCCTTACAACAGGAATGGGTTCAAATTTTTCACAAATGCTGGAGGGCTCGGGAAAGCTGACATTAAAAACATCTTAGAGCGTGCTGCAGATTTATATAATAAATTTACAGCAGAAGGGTTGACGAATTCAAAAGGAAAAGCACTTGCGTCCGTAAAGAGAGTTGATTACATGAATGTATATACATCTGATCTTGTAAAGGCAGTTCGCAAAGCTGCAGGAAATATAGGTACCAAGTCTATGAAATCGTGATTTTGGTAGAAATATTGTGCAGATCATCTCTTCATCCCTAACATGAAGTGTGATGTTGGTTATACTTGACTTGTTTGTTCAGTATCCAACACCCTTAGCTCCTGCATCTATAGAAATTATGTTACAATTAATATTTTATTAGGATTCTTCCATTTAATTTTCTGTGATCACCACTTTCATTGTCCTTTCATTTAAAAGACTGTCCTTTCAATTGTTTTGTGCTGTTATATAATCTCAGAGAAGCCACTGGAAGGGTTCCATATTGTAGTTGATGCAGGGAATGGAGCAGGAGGATTTTTTGCTGTAAGTGTTCTTATTTTGGATATTGATTTTTTACTTCATGGCTGTAACACTCTACTGATAGCCATTTATACGGCTACCATAGTAAAAGGGAGCTAACTCCCTATCAAGTTGATCAAGTGTATTATTTCAATGATATCAGGCAAAAGTGCTTGAACCTCTTGGGGCAGTCACTTCTGGTAGTCAGTTCTTGGAGCCAGATGGTAATATTGATTATTGAACGCTGGAATATTTAAGTTGTTTATTCAGGGATCGGAATTTTTTTTTAAAGTTTGTTCTTGGTTCAGGTATGTTCCCAAATCATATTCCAAACCCAGAGGACAAAACAGCAATGAAAGCTATCACCCAAGCAGTCATTGATAACAAGGCTGATTTGGGGATCATATTTGATACAGACGTCGATAGGTAGTGTTTCTACTGACCCAGAAAACCTTTTTACTCTATTTGGTTGCCTCTTTCTGATAAGTGTTTCTTTTAGATCCGCTGCTGTGGATTCAACCGGCCTTGAGTTCAATCGTAATCGTCTCATTGCCTTAATGTCTGCCATTGTTCTTGAGGAAGTAAGATATGTCTTCTTATTTTCATCAAGGCTCTTGTATTTCAATATGACATTTTATCTATTTGCTCTATTTATGACTTTTTTTTGGGTTATTTTTCCTAGCATCCTGGAACAACTATTGTTACAGATAGTGTGACTTCAGATGGTCTTACCACATTTATTGAGAAGAAGCTTGGTATGAGGAAAACTGAAAATGGTATACTTCTCTTATTGTATTGAATGACTGATAATTAGCAATTTCGTGTAGGGGGGAAGCACCATCGTTTCAAAAGAGGCTACAAGAATGTCATTGATGAAGCTATTCGTTTGGTGAGAAGACTGTCTAGTTATCTTGTTCACACCATTTATGATTTATAAAAACCAATAAGGAATAGAAGAAGACCTTGCATCCAACTCCCAGACATGTTCTTTCAAATATTCATTTTTTATTTTGTTTCTGTTCCTTTTGATCTTTGCATAGTATTTTCCTTATGCATATTGTTTTCTTTATTCTAAACATGCATGTAAAATAAACTGTTATATCTCACCTTTCTTTCTAGCGAGCATTGTGTTAATAGTTCTTGTCTGATTGTGTATTCTTTTTTGCTTTTCAACTGAAGTATAAGATATTGATTACAGAACTCTGTCGGTGAGGAATCTCATCTGGCTATTGAGACTAGTGGCCATGGAGCTCTCAAGGAAAACCATTGGCTTGATGATGGTGCATACCTCATGGTAAGCAATTAATGTAAAACTATAGTAGGGCCTCCTTTACACGTTGGATTGATTGACATACAATCCCATGTGATCTATGAAATTTGCTCATAAATCTTTGTCTTTTCTGGTGGGGTTTGTTGCTACTGCTCCTGCTGTTTGAATTTACCCTCTATGGCATTATGTGCAGGTCAAAATTTTAAATAAAATTGCTTCAGCCCGAGCTTCAGGGCAGACTGGTGGCAGCAAAGTTTTGACAGGTCTTTTAGAAGGTCTTCAGGAACCAGCTTTTTCAGTGGAATTGAGATTAAAGATAAATCAAAGTCATCAAGATCTTAAAGGAGGGTATGCTACTAAATATGAGACTTTCTTTGAAGAGTTTGTTCTGTGCGTCTATGTGCATGGTTATTTGCTTTGTAATTGCTGATAAATTGATGCTTCTAGATCTTTCCGAGACTATGGAGAAGCAGTATTGAAACATTTGGAGAACTATATTGACTCGGATCCAAAGCTTCAAAAAGCACCTGTTAACTATGAAGGGGTAAGTTTCTTTATGGTTAATGTTGACTTTATTGCGACCGTTTCCATTTTGGTTAGTACTTGGTATATTTCACTCATGCTCCCCCAACTTACTCTTGGAAACAGGTCCGAGTTTCCGGCTATGGTGGTTGGTTTCTTCTTAGACTCTCACTTCATGATCCTGTACTTCCCCTCAACATAGAGGTAGGCATAGCTCATCACTTGCTATCATTTCTAAATGTACTGCAACTAATACAATTTTTACACTGCAGGCACCAAGCAACAATGACGCTGTGTTACTTGGAAATGTTGTGCGAGCTGCTCTGAAGGAGTTCCCAGCTTTGGATACATCTGCTTTAGACAAATTTGTCCAAGCATCATAAACTTTAGGTCTATTCAAGTTGGAAATCCTTCGGCATCTTCATGGCTCGAGATGTACTTCCTTTTGTACGGGCGTTCTGCAACTTTGGCATTGGTTGTTACTTGTTAGGCACCACAGAATCTTGAAGACATTTGTCCACGAATGGTACTAGAACCCACTGTACAAAAATTGAGTTTACCTTACTTTTAGGTTTTGAGTTATAAACACGTAAATAAAGTGGAATTCTAAGTGGCATCTAGTGAGATTTGCTATCTGCTTGCCCATGGTAATAAGCTGCAATTTTGATTTGGTTTCAATACGAGTCTTGAGACATTACTCTATGTTTAGTGATCATGGCCTCTTTTTTCTTTATTCTCTACTTTTCAGATTTTGAGTACTAGAAACCTCTTTTTAGTACCATGGTTGTCCTTGGTTTTGGTTTGAAATCTCGTCCCCGTTGCCAAGGGTTGAAGAAAACTAATTATTTTTTATTATAAGAAAAACTGCAATTTTGTGGCCATCGTTAGGAAGATCATTTGGTGCATATAAAACCAGTCGTGTAATAGATGATTTTGGAGGGTGGTAGAAGTATATCTTCACAACATATGAAGAATGGGGGCAGGGGTGCCCATACCTGCCCCACCAAATATAATCTTCCCGAACTTGTTGCCAGGGCTTTACAAATTAGCGTTGATCCAACAAAAAATACAAAGTTATTGACAGAGTGCAATGCCACTAGACTTTTAGCCACACCCTTTTGCTTCCATAATTTATATACAACCTATGCTCAAACATCCTATTTCTTTTTTGTTCTTCCTTTCGGCGTGCCTTTCTTGTCCGTCTTATTAGTTCTTCGCGTGTTCTGAAAATAGTCTAAGTAGCAGCCTTGGTGTTCAGAAGCTTCATCATGAAGTTGAACCTAACATCCGGAGCAGTCTTTGGCTGGGGCCAGTTTGCTCCTTCAGGCACCTTAATGCTTCTGAAACCCTGGCCTTTGTACAGCTTTATAGCCCCAGGATTGTTTAAGTCACAGTGCAACGCAATGGCACGGCAATCCCAGCTCCTGGCTTGAGCTTCTGCCTTTGCTATTAGCCTCTTAGCTATGCCTCTTCGTCGAAATCTCTCCCGGACAGCAACATTTGATACGTATGCAACTCCAGTCCTGCAATTAAAACATCCATACATTTGTGTAAATAAGAATATATGCTAGATGAACCTAGTTTCAGAAATATATATTGACCTCAAATGAAACTTGCCATACTTTATAATGAACATTTAAAGTCAACGAGTAAAGGGGTTGTTTTCAACTAAAATTGAACTCTCATATGTTACGACTGAATCACATGCTTAGCTCTCTCTTTTATTTTTGAGGCCGATGGTTGTTCTAGGCAATTGGGGTTAGCCACCCCCTTATCACTTCCAAAGTATCAGATGATCAGAGAGTTCTTCCCACTCTCAGCAACTAGCTTTCTGACAGTCTGGAAGTATAACTCAATACGTATGCACACACAAGAGAATAATATTTGAGCTGCATCCCACTCTCAGCAACTAGCTTTCTGACAGTCTGGAAGTATAACTCAATACGTATGCACACACAAGAGAATAATATTTGAGCTGCAGCAGCTGATGCACTGAAGTGAACCGGACACAGCCATACATAAATGGATATGGAAGGAAACAGGGTGGGGGTGAGGTAGAGCTTGGCTTGCCATCCCATCCTGATACCTTTTCTTATTTCTCTCTAATATTCTCAACGCATCTCTAATATTCTCTCTATGCCCGCATCAAAATATCTTATTAGCACACATAACATTACAATATAGCATAAACACCATAAATCAAAAGGAAAAGCAAAATGGAAGACTAAGCATAAAAATATTCATATATTTATATTTATAAGACTACTCTAGGTTCCAGTGAATATTTTGGAGTAGAGCCTCTGTTTGACAGTGAGTAACATCCATAAAACGGGCAAGCTGAAGATCCTGGGTTTGAACCTCAGTAATGGGAGGGGACTAGTATTGGAGGTAAAAAGAAGTATGGGGAACCAAATACTTCCAATGCAAGGACTTGACTTCGTCCAGCTGACGAAAGCTATCTGTGGTTCCAGACTAATCAGTGAAGAACACAACAGATGAATAATCTAACCAAAGTTGAAGATCTTGTTCTTTCCGCTTTTAACTAATAATTGTTTGATATTACAGGTCAGAAAGTTATTTCACTTACACAAGGTCAAGAAAAATGTATTTTCATCAGCTTCATCTTACTTGCAAACTAGATGGCTGCACGAGCTTTAAATGGTAAAGAAAACCTCTTGAAAGTGCAATGAACTCACCTTCTTTGCCGGAGAGGTCCTTTTCTAGGAAGAAAATCAGCAACAGTATCCACTGTCAATATCCCAGCCACATACCTCCTATTGAGACTGAACTTCCCATCAAAACCACCAATCTTGAAATCTTCACTCCCAAAGAGAAAAGTCTCATCAACAGAGTTGCCAATGACAGCAACGAGACAAGTCCTTTTGCAACCATTTGGCAAAGAAAATCCGGCTAGCATCGCTACCAGCCGGTCAATCCGCAGAACAAAATCTAAAGGGAAAGAATATTCAGGGAAGAAAGAGCTGCAGTGAGTCTCAGCCACCTCCCAACAGTCCTCTAACCTGGCCTCCCGGACAACAATCTCGGGAGACACTGTTGGAAATAAATCAGCCACTTGACTGGCTCTGCATACTCCTACAAGCAAAAACAAGAATTATCCAAATGGGATTTCAATACCCAAATTCCAATTTGAGTATATAATGGACAATCATTCAGCTCCACTATTTCTTACTATAAAAAGATCATTTTTTTTCCCTGCTCTAGACCTCTGTAAAATTGCCATAAGAAATCAGAAAAACCCAAAAGGAAAATGAAATCCAATCCTGATGATCATTCATATGTACATGTGTCTGCAACCCCATAGAGAAGTCAACACAACCAAAATTGACAAAAAACCCAAAACTGCCAACAATAGTTCACATAAACCAACATAGTCTTACATAGAAATTGAAGTATATATGTAAAAAAAGACAGAAACTTGGGTGTACCCACCAGATTTGGAGAAGGAAAGAAAAGAGAAATCATCATCCTCAGTGGAGGTGGAGGCAGGAACCCTAGAAGAAGTAGAAGTAGAAGTAAGAGGAAGTGGGTTTGGTCTCTTTAGGTTGAGACTATTGAGAAAGGTGGTTTTGGAGGAGCTGTTTATGGAGGTTGTGGATACTGATATTCCCAACGGTATGGTCCGCATTTCTTGGACTCTGTGTTTTGTGTCTCTCTCCCTATCAGCAATCGCAGATTCTTTCTTTTCGGGTGTTTGTTTCAGTTATAAGACTTCTGAGGGGCACCACTGTTGTTGACGCCAAAATTAACCAAGTTACCGAACCTTCCCTCCACACGTGTGCTGTGTGGGAAATGAATCTCTGCTTCTTTCATTTCACTTCGGGTAAAAGTTAAAACCCATGTGTTTTTTTACTTCGTTTTGGTAAGCGGATAAAATCCATGTTCTGTGGTGTAAGTTTAAGCCTGTAAATGGTGAAGATATTGTTGTATCATAAGAATGTTTGCAGGTTTCACATGCAAATCTTGGATGCGAACAGGTAATGCCTGTACTCGGACAAAAAAAAACAGGTAATGCCTGTACTCGGACAAAAAAAAACAGGTAATGTCTGTAAGGAAACCAAAGGTTTTAATGGCATTTGGATGATTGTGTATTTGGAGCATCATAGAATTCACCATCTCTTTGCCACCAACTATATTAAAAACCCATATCATTCAATAAATAAATAAACTTGTGTGGCTGCTTATACATAATTCATTTTCTTTACTTGAATCTGAAAGTTCCTATGTAATTGGAAGTTTGTAAGTTACATTCCTGGGGTATGAGATTCAACGGACCTAAAAGTTAACAGGAAGGTTACTTAAAAATGAAAAGGTGGTGGGGGACGTGGACTTGCCGAACAGTGAACACCAAGGAGGAAGCTTAGAAAGAACTCTGTCAACTTTAGGAGTTACTATGTCCATATCAGTTCTTAACTTTAGAAGGGGAGTGCCCTCCTCTCTCTTCCCTTCCACCTTGTGATCCAACCGAGTAGAGTTTTTCATCCAGAAGAGTGTCAGACCGAACTTCGTCGGTGCATTCTTTCCCCCGGAAAACTGCATAATGTGCCACCCATCTACACTGCTCATGTCACCATCCAAAACCAATTCCTCTGAGCTTCCTGCATCTGAGGTTATAAAAACTTGAGAGCGCTAAAACAAGAGGGAAGTATAAAACTAAGTGGTACAAAACTGAACTCTTCAGCTTAGCACTCCATTACAAACACGAGTATCAAAATTGCGAGATAAAATAATGTACCTTCGAATGTGAAATCTTCTATTTCATCAGCATTGATAGCAAGAGTCCATCGTGTCGAACCTTTTGTATCAATTAAAACTTGTGTTATTCTTTCACCACCACGAGTATCGCTATCGACGTGCATTATGGGAACATCTGATTCACTCCACCCACTGTCAGTGTCATCAAAGGTCCAGCAACTGTATTTGACTGAAAATGTTACCAGATCAACAACTTTATCTCTACCGCATCTGAAACCTTCATTGATTTGCTCAACCTCCTTTGTCAATTTCCCGGGGGTAGAAGAAAACAGAGACACATATGATCTAGGATCTTGTTTTTCATCGAAGCTTCTTGTCATATCTACAACATGAACAACCTGAGAACAATAAAGTATTTATAAATGAATGGTTGCACAGACATAAACTCACATACCGAGGGTAATCGCTAGAAAGCTCCAACACCCTAAAATATGTTGTGTAATCAAACCAGCAGTATCGACCTCATTTTTCAATTTGGGAGCTATTAATGACAATCAAAACCACTAAAATTGTCTTCACTGAAAACAATCAAAAGCACTAAAACTGTGTTCATTGAAAAGTATATTGCCTTACCCGACAACTGTTTGGGTTTTCTGTTATTGAAACCCATTGTGAAAAGTTTATTTGCATTGGTCATGCATTTTTCGTTTTCTACAAACACTGAAGATGAAAGCCTCAGCTCAATATATTTTAATTTATGTATCTTAATTTCTTTTAAAAAGAGACCGAGACTTTGTCAGAACGGAGTCATCTCCAATTAACAGGACAAACAAAATAATCCCAACTAGACTTTTTCATTAA